TTTTGTGTTATATGATTGTATGATATATATATATATATATATATATATATATATATATATATATATATATATATATATATATATGTGTGTGTGTGTGTGTGTGTGTGTGTGACGTGTCTAACATACGCCTATACACGTGCAAGTGTGTATAGCGAGAACAAAGATAAACAGGAAACAGCATATCTGTTTGTCTGTCTGTCAGTGGTGTAACTGTGGGGAGCGTCAGCTCTAAACACTAAACAACCCCTCCCCTCCTCTCCACTGTCCGCCCCGCCCATTGTCTCGTGAATAGCTCGGACTGTGAGTAGCACACGGGGAAATAGTAAAATCACGTGACCGATGTCTTCTAGGTGCAAGATGAGCAGGTGTTGTGCACTTCATGACCTCCCCCTCCCTCCCACCTCGCCCCCCCCCCTCCCTCCGGCAAGCTTCTTGGAAAGTGGGCATGTGAAGATGCTTTAGCAAATATCTCAATCTCAACCTTCTGGATTTAACACTGACCTTTGTGTACTCAATGTTTTTAATAATGAATTCGAACAACAATACCTATCCAAAAAATTCATACTAACGCCCACCAATATTTGAAATTCCGTATCAAGCTTCAATTTTTTTTTTCTAAATCTAATTCTAACAATTATACCACAGTCGAAATTCTGACGAGAATAATGTAATTGATTTTCTTACACCGATGCCTTTGCCTTACATTGCCTAAACTGACACAAACTGACGACAATACAAAATGTACAACATCCTAGTAATCTATATCAGTTAAAGAAAATGTACAACTTCCGAGGTTCTAAATGACACAAACACAGCCAAAAAATGTACAATAATCTCCCCCCCCCCCTCAATAATTCGTGTGATTCCATTTACAGGCTCATTCGTCACGCAAAGATTTCAGGATAAGCCGACATCACCTGCTCATCTAGCACGAGCTTTAATGCGATTTGAGCTCGCACGTGCACCCCGGTACAAGCCCTCTGACAATGGCTGCCGGTGCTCACACAAGTAGGTTCAACTCACAAAAACACAGGATTCCCTGATTGCTTTCGGTTCTGCTATCTCTGGCTGTCTAAGATGTTCATTAAGTTATTATATCATTTTAAACATGAGAAATGACGAGGATCGGTGCACGTGTTTGGTGAGTGCATGAAATACAACGGAACACAGTTTAACACCTGCTGCAAGAGACAGACGTCATAGCATCTATTTTACTTCCATTTTACTTCTATTTTACTTCTTATTTCCGGTAACTCCCACTAGATAATTTAGATCTATTTAGATTATCTTGATGGAGGGAAGTGGGTTGCAACGTAAAAAAAAAATAATATATCAGGATTTTTGGGGGCGTGGCAGAGGTGTCATAAAGTTGAAGGGGATACAGAGAGAGAAAGAGACAGAGAGAAGAAAAGAAAGAGAGAGTATAAGAATGAAATAAACAGAGAGAAGGAAAGAAAGAGAGAGTGTGAGAAAGAAAGAAACAGTTACAGAATGAACTTTGTTAAAGAAAAAAATTGAGAAGAAAGTGATAGAGAGAGATAAAAGAGGGTGAGAGAGTAAGAGAGAGAGAGAGAGAGAGAGAGAGAGAGATGGACGGACCAAGAGCGAGATTATTCTAGGTGATCTGTTACTTGGTCATTTACCCACTTGCTTGTATCCATAGACTTTCATACTCAAACAAGTTACAGCCACAGGCTTGGAGATCTACACAACAAGTCCCAACTACATTCAACTGTTTAGATCCACACAGAACATATCCCAGATACAAATCGATGTCGAACATATCCCAGAACAAATGGACACAGAATGGGACTGCTAGTACCTATTAGTTTAGCCCCATCAGACTAACCAAATTTTCTCCCCCCCCCCCCCCTCATTGTGTTGGTAACCGTAGTTCACCAACCCAGCCTCCACTACAATGCAATATTCTCGAATCACCCCAAAAATCCCTTTAGACAAAACTCTGAAAGCATCTGAATGTAAAATTCAATTCATTAACCGGCCATTTTTTTTCCTCCGGCTTGCTGTCGAAGACGGGGACCGGAAGTCGAAATCAAGAGATTTCTCTTATTAAGTTTCCTTTGTCCTACCATCAGGATTTGCTAGAGCCGGCAAGGTGTCTTCGCATTAGCCGGTTGAGAGAAATAGCCGGAATATCATTTGTGAAGGGAAGACTCAGAGTACAACTGAGTAAACTCATTTCTGGAGACTTTTCTAGTCAAAAGGGTAGGGGTGGGGGAGGGTGGGTGGGTGGGTGACGAAGTACCAGCGCTTTTAAACAAAATAAGTTTGACGAAATGGTGGACGACAGACAGACTTGTGACGTCACACATAGTCACGTGGTAAGTTTAGGTAGATAAGAAAAACAGGAGCTGGGTGGGTGGAGTGATGTCCATACCACAGAGTGACCATATCAGATTAACATATGGGCCATCACATTAAGCAAATCAACTGGAAACAAATACGTGATTCATAGTATTTTTTTAAAAAATGGTACAAAGTATTTTTTCTGTACATATATTTTAATTAAATTATGAGTTAAAAAACTAATGATTGAATTATGAATCATCTGGACATAAAGTTGGACAAATATAAGAAAAAAAAACAATGGGTTATGAAAAAGATAAACCAAAATGTTGATTTTGATGTGATTTTTTCATAACAATGCCAAAACTATATTAAGCCGCCAGAGGACACACTAGTAGAAAAACATCAAGACACAAAACACATCAAAACAGAAGTTTCTGCACTGGGAAAAAGCAAACCAAATTTACAAGGTCAATCCAACATATTCAGGATCGATACCTGTGTAGAACCACTCGATACTAATTACCGAATACGATTACTTATATTTTTTTTATTCATATTCATTACATTGTCACTCTGATACAAAGTAGGGGCCTATATCCCCCTACCTCCCCTTAGACAATGCTACAATTTTTTTGTGTCCGCTGTTAGCGAAATTGTTGTGAAAAGAAAAGAATGAATCGTCTCCCTTGCTATCGGGGACGGACTCGAATATTTCTAAATGCGTTATCTCCCCTTGTAACGACATTAACAGCTAATGTTGCCAAGGGGACACAAAAAGGGGAGTAATCCAGCGACTGGATTTCGCGTATTGTTTCTAATGGTCCCCCTTGAACATCGAAAAAAAACATGTTTTTGTTGTTATTAGTTGAGAGTACGTTTAAATAATAAAAAAAAAAACGATCTATATTTAGCATATTTTTAAAAAAAATCTTATAAAATAATGTCGCAGCAGATAATTGTTAACATAATACATGGAGCTTAAAAATTCTAAGTCAGTTTATTTTGTTCCGACTTCGATCACTCAAAGAATGTCATTCGTAAGTTTTTCTTTAGTTTTGTAGAATTTCCGTAATGGCTTAAAGGTATTAAATATTAATTTAAAAATTCCACACCAAGTTCGAGGTTCCGAGTCCCTATGCACCATATCCTGTGTTATTTTAATATGTAGTTCGGTGTACATTTGAGGGTTGACGCCCCTGCTTGCCAAGAAGTGCAGTCTCGTATAGCTATGGTGGGGTGGGGGGGGGGGGGTAGAGGGGTGAGAGGCCTGTCAGCTTAATTCTGTCACGTGATTATCTCCTAACGGTGGACCATCCATAATAAATTCATCCGCGACACATTCGCGACACATTCGGACAACGCTTTTCTATTTCAATTAGTGAGGATGTTTAGCTGGGTACGGGCATGAGAGGGTTAACGTGGGTACAGACATGGGAGGGTTAACGTGGGTACAGGCATGGGAGGGTTAACGTGGGTACAGGCATGGGGGGGGGGGGTAACGTGGGTACAGGCATGTGAGGGTTAACGTGGGTACAGGCATGGGAGGGTTAACGTCAGGCATGGGAGGGTTAACGTGGGTACAGGCATGGGAGGGTTAACGTCAGGCATGGGAGGGTTAACGTGGGTACAGGCATGGGAGGGTTAACGTGGGTACAGGCATGGGAGGGTTAACGTGGGTACAGGCATGGGAGGGTTAACGTCAGGCATGGGAGGGTTAACGTGGGTACAGGCATGGGAGGGTTAACGTCAGGCATGGGAGGGTTAACGTGGGTACAGGCATGGGAGGGTTAACGTGGGTACAGGCATGGGAGGGTTAACGTGGGTACAGGCATGGGAGGGTTAACGTGGGTACAGGCATGGGAGGGTTAACGTGGGTACAGGCATGGGAGAGTTAACGTGGGCACAGAGATGGGAGGGTTAACGTGGGTACAGACATGGGAGGGTTAACGTCAGGCATGGGAGGGTTAACGTCAGGCATGGGAGGGTTAACGTGGGTACAGGCATGGGAGGGTTAACGTCAGGCATGGGAGGGTTAACGTGGGTACAGGCATGGGAGGGTTAACGTGGGTACAGGCATGGGAGGGTTAACGTGGGTACAGGCATGGGAGGGTTAACGTGGGTACAGGCATGGGAGGGTTAACGTGGGTACAGGCATGGGAGAGTTAACGTGGGCACAGAGATGGGAGGGTTAACGTGGGTACAGACATGGGAGGGTTAACGTGGGTACGGGCATGGGAGGGTTAACGTGGGTACGGGCATGGGAGGGTTAACGCTATGGGTGTTTAGCAGAGTACAGGCATGAGAGGGTTAAAGTGGGTACAGACTGGGAGGGTTAACGGGATGGATGGCAGGTATGACGCCAAGGATGTGAGGTCTGAGGCAATGGATGAAAATAACTAATTGAAGATGGAAGTGTTATGAATATGATGCGATGATGTGGCGAAATGAGTACAAGAATGATACTCTCCGTTACTCTTGAATTGAGCTGGCGTATTGTTAACTTAAAACAACGATATTTTCTGACATTAAGGTTAAGTAGTCGCAGATAAACTTCAACAATTAATTAACATTTCAATCCTGAAAGCTAGTTTGAAAAGTTCCACATAAAGACAGCAGACTGGCTATCATACCCTCACCACTAATGTCAGATGGTACCACCCCCCCTCCCCTAAAATCACGTGACCACTCACCTTTCTCCTCCGCCGCCCTCCTCTCTACCGCCTTGGCCGCGTCCACCAAAGCCCGCACCACGCTGTTGAACTTGGTCACGAAGGATTCGAACTCGGACATGGCCGACTCGCCGTTCATCGAGGCGAAGGGGTTGCCGTTGGAGCCGGGCCTGGGCTTGTCAGGGGCGTCGCTGCTGTGGTACTCATCACTGTCGTAGCTGTCGTCTAGATCTGAGGGGCAAACAAAATGGCGGGGTTCATTCTTTGTTTTTGTGAAACAGGCACAGGGTTGAGAAGAAAGAATTGGCTAAAATTATAGGACACAAATCAGCTGTACTTGCTGTACATTGGGAAATAAAATAAAAAATAAGTGTCTGTATAACAATGTGTATAAAGAATTCAGCCCAATACTCGACATACATTATGCACCTATAAAGGTTATGCAGAATAAAATTGACATTGTTATCAAAACATAATTTAAAAACAAATAGCCAATCAGCGTTGTTCGGTGTATTTTGAGTATAAACCTACCCCTCAACCCCCCCCCCCCCCCCCCACCTTTTTTTTTTAGCTTTCTATTTGGGTTCTCAGCCAAAGTATCGGTCAACCCAACCCGCCCCACCCTCACGAAATTAGCCACTCGCCCTAGCCTTCCATCGCCAGTAGCTTATCTGGTAGTTTCGACAGATATTCCAATGTTTCGAGATTTTGATTTACTCCATCAGTCCATCACACATCAAGAGAACAAAGAATATAAATCACATTGGAAAAAAAAAAACCCAGCAACTTTTCTGCAACTTTTCTTTCGTTTTTTCGGTATGAGCATGACATTACCGATATCAGTATTCGACTACCTTTTACGATTTCAAAAGTGCTTGAGTATATACAAGAAGGTATCGAATATCTGGAATCGTCTAGTGTATCGTCTACGATACAACTTTTGCTTGCAGTACATAAAGTTGAAGCGATAAGTTATTGAAGAGCCCAGGGTGAGCCTGACGATGGGGTGGGGGGGGGGGGGGTAGGAGGAAGAAGGACTTGGTAGGGGGGGGGGGATTTTTTTTTTACCAGTAACACCTGCAACAAGTCCATACGGTAAAGCTGGTCGTTTTGAATAATCGATTCCGATTTTTTAAATTGTTCGTGGTCTGGTCAATGAAGTTCACCGTAATCAACTTTAACCGGATTAAGTTATTTACGAATAGATTGATCTACCACACAGCTTAACAACAAGACAATAAAAAATAGATTGGCAGATAAAATAAAACCCATATTTGTCAGTCTTACAGTATAATCGGTGATATGCTTGAAAACGATGAGGGGGGGGGGGGGACACAGCAGGTTCATATGCCGTGTTTATTGCAGAAGGCGGTAAAAATAAAACGACACCTATCGGGCGGCATCTGGGTGCTTGGGGTTCGGGGTTCAGGGTGGTTTATGACTGCTCGAGAATGATAGACATCTCCCTCCTACGTGTGGCCCGTGGGGGTGGGGGGTTGATTAAGCGACGATTACCATTGTGCTACAACGTTTATGCTGGTTTGATGGTGTTCAGATGGAAGTTAGAAAATCTGGAGATTAACAACACGCTCGGGGTCAGAGGTTACGGGACGATTTCTTGACAACTTGTAGGATGGGAGGTTTTTGGGGAGAACTATAGGAAGGGGAGGTTTTAAGGGAGAACTGTAGGATGGGGAGATTTTAGGGAAGAACTTTAGGGAGGAGAGATTTTAGTGGAGAACTTTAGGATGGGGAGATTTTAGGGAAGAACTTTAGGGAGGAGAGATTTAGTGGAGAACTTTAGGATGGGGAGATTTTAGGGAAGAACTTTAGGGAGGAGAGATTTTAGTGGAGAACTTTTTTGCAACAAATTGATGAAATGTGGGGGGGGGGGGGAAGTTAAATGCAGAGAAAAGCAAATATCGAATACCCCTGTACAGTCAGAATATGCTTCACAAAATGCAACAACGAACTATGGAACATCTGTCAGTGTTATTTTATTTTTATCCTACGATTTCGCATATTTACCCATTTTAATAGTGGATATTTTCATACTGCGATTAGGCTATTTCATACTGCCAGCAAAAAAAACAGAGTTGACCAAACAATAAATATATCACTTACTTAGAGACTATAGTTTGCATTCCTCGTTATATATAGCAGTTAACGTGTATATCGATTTGATCTGTTAAGATATTAGCCCTCTTTACTGCGGCAATTAATTAGAAAGATTCAATTGATTAAGAGGTTTCTCTGTTACTGTTTCATTACGTGTGGACAAAGATCCTATATCACTCGGGACTTGCTGTTTGTTTATTGATTACCTAGGTGTAATTACGCAGGTGAAATTAGTTCAGGTGTATAATAAATCAATTTGTGTCATCTATAAATAGCAACCTCGTTAGGGCCGGAATAGCCAGGTTTATTTACAAAGTAGACCAGAATAAATCGTGCGGTGTGGACACGGGACAACAGACAAACAGACAGACAGACAGTCTTGGAACTGAGGGGGGCAGACAAGGAAACAATAGAGTCGGAATGTCTGTCTCAGACACGTGGTGTCTGTCTGGTTGTACAAAACAACCCGCATCACGTGACCAGGACGTGAAAAGCAAATAAAAACATTACGCTGGTCGGCGATTGGTGGATTTATTGCCACGTGACGTTTTGACCCCACGTGACACGTCATGGCGCCCGGATGGACTCGTTAATTGTGTGACAAATAAAGGCGAGCTGTTATCAACGATCTTGTGTATTTAATTAGAAGATTCTATTCTTGTGCCTGGTCTACCCCATGCTTCTCTATGCTTTACCACAGGCAGTACACCACGTCCTAGCATAAGTCTTATCCCATACCCTACCCTATGTCCTACCCCATGTCCTACCCTATGTCCTACCCTATGTCCTACCCTATGATCAGTGGCGGAACTAGAAAAAAAAGGGCTACCCCGCAAAATTTTTTTAGGCCCCCCCCCCCCCCCCGCATTGTCTGGCGGCACTGTAGTTCCGCCCCTGCCTATGATCCTGTCTTACCCAAGTCCTAACCAGTTCCATAGCACCTACTTCAACCGTAAGTCCTAGAGATACAAACTGCCTAAATCTACGATGTCCTTACTGTACATCCCTATCCCCACACCTTCCACCCATATCCCTATCCCAATTCCTATTCGGGTCCTCGAGATGGCTTACCCTGCTCTAGCCAACCCTTACAGACACAACCTTACACCACAAATCCCTTACACCAGACAGAACTATCCCTTACAGAACCTCCATTACAGACTCATCATTATACAAGCCATACAAATCCCTTACACACATTACGGATCCATTCATTACACTAGACAGACTCATCCATTGCAGACACAACCCTTACAGATCAATCTATTACAGACCAACCCCTTACATCCGACAGACCCATCCCTTACAGACCCACCCATTACAGACGCATCCCAGAACACACACACAAAAATAAACGAGTTTTCCCCAGCCCCAGATGACAGTGGCACGGCACTACCAATTCCCTGTTCCAGAGTCTCGAGCAAGTGTGGGAATTCCCCAACGCCCGGCGACCTGCGCCACCTGAAATCGCGGGAGATCTCGTCTGGCTTCCGCCTGCAAGATGGAACCCCAGCCCCCGCAGACAATCAGCGCGCCAGCGATCACGTCCACTATTACAGGGCCGACTTCAAAAGCTGGACCTAATTTTATTTGTAAACTACTATTACCTTTTGCTTAGCGGCGCGGGGTGTGTGCGCACCAACCTAATGCGAATACGCGCTGCGCTGGTGCGCAAACATCAGGGGCTGTCTGTTGTTTTTATGCGGGAGTGCACCGTCCAGGAAATGAAACTTTGAATCGAGTCGGTTAAATTACGTTGTGAGTACTTGTAGTGGGTTACGTCTTTATAAAAATGAGATGATTTTCCCATCCCAGGGTAAGTCTGTGGTGTCGTGGGGTGGGGCAGATGAACGTGTACCCACGGGTCATGGGTGGTGATGATGTTAGTCGCTGTTGAGTACATATTGTACAGAACGAGACCTTTGTCTAGCCCAGGATAGGGTCGATGACCTTTTTGCTGAAGTAAAAACCCATTACATAAATTATTCCTAATTAAAATAATGTTGGAAGCTGTAATGGATTTAGTTGCGCAGTTTTATTCAAAGCACAGAAGCAACATTTTAAAATCTTAAATGAATTCCAGACCTCCTTTCTGTTTTCTTTATTAACAAGTTCCTTGTGTTAATTTAAAGGAAGAATTTTTTTTTCATAGAGAAAATACCAGGCGTCTTTGTGAATGCTACCCGCTTGGGTGCCGACTGCAGACCAAGAGGGGATACATGACTAAATGCGTGTTCATATTTTCTAATCAAAGTGTCTGCTATTGGTACATAATTGGTTCTTCTTCGCCCCTTTCGATTCCCATTTAAGCAAATGTCTTTAACTACATTCTTCTTTGCTATTCTTCTTTTGCTATTTTTAAAAAAAATTTCTTTCCAACTGTAACAATCACATAATTAGTTGCAGAGTTGTAAATAATACCCTCTCCTAAAGTTATTCAGTCTGCAATTGTTTTCTACCTCTGCTAAAGTACCCCCCCCCCCCACACACACCCTAAGAGTCGTCTCCAGTGACACGCGCCACGTGAGTACGTCACGCATGAATGAGCCCTCACCTACACCACCGAGGGTACCAACAGTTTCACAAACCATCACATGGGGGTCTAAGCTTTTCAAATAAACTCTAGGCAGCTTTTGTATAAAATTGTCTTAAGTGAGTCTTCAGGTAACTGCCAAGTATTCAAGCTTGGCCATCTTTACTTGGCGTCTCTGTCAAAGAATCGTGGGCCTATACTTGGCCCCACTTAGAAAGAAGCACGACCATCTTTACTTAGATCTTCTGTGAAAAAAGCATGACTATTTTTACTTGGCCCATATGTGAAAGAAGCTTGGCCATTTTTACTTGGCCCATAAGTTAAAGTAGATTGCTATCTTTACTTGGCCCCACTTGGAAAGCCGCATGACCACCTTAACTTGGCCCCTCTCAAAGAAGCATGGCCAACTATACCTAGCCCTCTGTGAAAGTAGTATGACCATCTTAACTTGGCCCTCTGTGAAAGAAGCATGGCCATCTTAACTTGGCCCCTCTCAAAGAAGCATGGCCATCTTCACTTGGCCCACTGTGAAAGAATCGAGGCTACCCTAAGACGGCCCTGCTGCTCCGCCGTTGCGCCC